ACACAGTATAATTTCATATATTATATTTATTTTTATTTATAGTGCATTGTACAATGTTCTCGTGCAGCCAAAAACTGTACCAGGTGGTGACAAATTGCAAGAAGCTCTACCACAACGATACCATACCATCATAAAAGCCACGACCACTCTGCCAAGAGTGAACGGCTGAAGAAATATGCAGGATATTTTTTTTATAAATACATACATATACATACATAATATACATAACAAAACACCCAGATACAAACAATCATACGTATATACACATGTTTGTATCGAGGAATCGAACCCGCCACCATCGGAAGTGAAGCGGTATGCTAAACCGCTGGACTACCGAGGCTGTCAAAATTAAATTGGTGTGTAAATTTTTGGTATATAATTGGTATTAACAAATGGTATCATAAACCATATTATATATATAACATATAATATAATAGACCATATGTTTAAAAATCATGCTATTCTTATTTCAATAGTGTTATATAACATTTTGAAACCACACTCCGCTCGAATAAATGCAAAATTGATATCTTTGATAGTGATATCAAAATTATTATTACTGTTACAAATTGGCTACTTAATCTAACCCTAAAACTAAACTAATAATACTTTTAACTAATAAATAAATACAAAATAGAATTGTTCATTGATTCAACTATACAGATTTTGTGGTAAAGGATTTATCTGTTAATGAAACAACTCTCACGAAACTTAACATCTTTAACACAAAAGTAAATTATAAATTTGAAAATAATTTAATTTAATTTAAAACTCTTCATGCCATCTCAGTCACGTGATCAATTTGGTATGAAAGATTTAATTTAATATTTAGTTCCTCAGTTATTTAAATTGATAATAATAATAACCCAAGCTATGTTATGGGTATGGAAATACTGAATTTATTTTAAATAACACGATATCTGTAGAAAACAGCCAGACCGATACAAACAATCGTACTCAGGGGGGAAAGGAATTGTTAGTAATGGACTAATGTTCCCATTGCTAGCAATGAACCATGTCAGATCGACCTCCACGCGGTTCCCCCTGGAAACCATCGTGATACATTCCCGGTGAATTTGTCACGTTAGACCAACTGACCTGACCTCATATTCATCCTATCATCCTCCATTGGTGCCTCGCCAGCGTAAACCGTTTGCGCAGGCGGGTGTACCATTCTATTATCACTTTTAAAAAAAAAAAACAATCATACTCATAAATACAAATGTTTGCATCGTGCGAGGAACGAACTCGCGACCATCGGAAGTAAGGCTGTGTACCTAATACCTAGAACACAGAGAGATTAGAGATCGTTAAAAGTGGAAAGAAAGTGGTCGAGTTTCAGGAGTATCCCATATTGCTTTTGGTTTGTTAAAACTTTAACAAGTAAACCTGTATAGAGTTAAAAATGTAAAACCCAAAATAATGACTAAACTTTGGATTTTATTATTAAATAATTATACGAACTAATTGTCTATGGTTGTTAATAATTACTTTATTTATTTTTCTACACACTTGCTCGTAAATTGGATTTAATTTCAACGTTTTTCGATATATAAAGCATCTACTAAAATACGCGTGCGTTATAAACGCAAATAGTGAAGTTAAAATTAATAAACGCACTATTTGATATTTTTCAAATTTAGAACTGACCACCACGCGTCGACTGCCAGTAGGTAACGCGTTGATTTAAAAAAAAAGTAAAATGGCGGGAATGTGTCAAAATGAACAAAATATATCATGATTTGTGCGCTGATTTAAAAAAGTTAAATGGCGGGAAAGTGCCAAATTAAACAAATTATAATATCACGATTTTTTATTCTGTTTCCTTGCAAGTGTTGAAAAACGTCGTACGATATATAATACGTATATTTAACACACTCGGCTGTATTACGCCCTCGCCTACGGTTCGGGCTGAAATTCTGCTTCGTGTGTTATAACCATCATAAGACATTTATATCGTAATATATACTACAAAGCACATTTTTATGTGAGAGCTTAACAAAATAACACTATTATAAACCTTAGAAATGTGATTTCAAAATGTTATATCTAGTATACTTCTAGTCTATAGAGGGTATACATTATATTGCTTCAAGGAAATGAAACATTTGAGCACTTAAAATTAGACTTTACAACAACGAAATAATGTTTAAAATGTCTAATTCCACTTAAACAAATAAATACGTTCTTATACTTGAATATAATATGAATCTTATTGCGTTAAATATAACGTTTAAATTATAAATTACTGACTTTTATAATTGATTTACAAAAATAATTAATATGGCCAATTTAAAATGGACTACTTATAACGAAATTATTAATTCCTGAACTAATGTAATAATAGTGATGTGACAAATAAGCATCGATAAAAAAATATAATAAATATATTTTAGTCATAAAAGTGTTTCTTGATTTTTTACATTGATTTGTAGTATAACATTTTATTTAACTAAAGCGAGTATACACTTTTTTTAGTAATAATACAATATACGTACACTTTGAGTATTGTACATTTGTAGTGTAATTGTCGAGCAGGATTTCTAAAATAATAAAAAAATTCTAAAAATACTTTTGATATCTTTAAAGGTATAAACATTATGTTATATAAATTGATATGTCATGTTAAATAATATCTAAAAATATCAAAGTCATTGGAGTAAATATATATATTTATATATATACATATAGTCATTTGTTTGATGTATACTTTTTACATGAGTAATGTACAGAGAAAAACAGAAGAAAAACACAGTAAAAATATTTTGGAATTTTATAGGCAAAATTATTATTATATATTAAATATATACTTGGAAATTGTTCTATGATTTATCATACTGGAAGCATGACAATGGTTAGAAACTTAACTAGGAACGCTTTTCTAAACTAATAGTACGAAATGGAAAGGTTTTTTTAATTAGTGAATTAATTAAATAACTAAAATCAAAATATATGTAACCGATTTCGTATATTTTTCGCATATAAAAATCTACATTCTATGCGAGCAATGTCTGTATTTCTTTTAATCTAAATGGGTACTTTAGTTTGGGGTAAAAATATAAGATTTTACCCCAAACTAAAGTATCCATTTTTTCACCAATCTTTTTGTTCAAATCTGGGGCGAGACGTTACTAAAGTTCTTACTTCATTTTTAATGCATAACCCTGCATCCCGTGACTTAATTAAGTAATGCAGTTGATAACAATTCTCGTTTGAAACAGGTTAGATATTATTCGCGATTATTTATGAAAGATTTAACAGTTGCAGTTGCAATTGCGAAACAGAAGCAGGTTATCACTAAGACTCGAATTACTCATATAAAATCGCGAACTTGTCGATTTTAATATGGCCATAACTGAGAATTATTAACAATTGCGTTATATAACAAAGTAACTGTAATACCAAAATATTTTGTCTCAATTTGACATTAAATGTCAAATATTAATTTATTATTAACTAGAGTCCATGTCACATCACTAAAAAATATTTATCACTATATTTATTTTAAAAATATACAAGCAAAACAATACCTTATGTCTATATATACAAGGCTAGCCATTCACAGCACATATAAAACTGGTCTTTACAAATTTCGAACATTTAATGTCAAAATATTTTTTGTCATTCCAATTTAATTCTTAAATAATTTATTAATAAAGTTTAAATTTAATTCATAAATGGATAAAGGTAAGTAGCAATGTATGGAAGAAGTAAAATGAATAATACTATAATAAAATAATGACACAGGGATGAATTATAGAGGTGCCTTATGAACTAACACGCTATGCCTAATTATAACAATTATGGCATGGCCACAGTTTAAAAATTATAAACAAATAAACAATCATTGATTACGATTGATTACTACAGGTCTACGATGGAGTCTAATATCATTATCGATTTCAACCCAATCCAGTTGTGTATGGTTTCTTTTAACGTTTCTTTTTTATAGCATAGGAGACAAACGAGCTTGTGGCTCACCTAATGGTACAGTCGTCCATGCGTGCATGTAACATCAGGGGAATTGCAAGTGCGTGAAGGAATAAGCTCGTTTCTTGAAGGTTTTAATATCGTATCGGTTCGAAAACACCATTGCCTCAACCACCATTGCCACCGTAATTATGACTACACAGAATAAATCGTTAATAAAGTCTGTTAGTCATTGAATACGAAATATAAAATTGACACCTTGCTTGTGAATAATTGAAGAGTGTAAAAAGATACTAAAGTGTGCAATCCAATGTCATTGGATCGGAATTAGTTTCCAGCGTAGACCGACTGGTGTGGAATTATCTGATATCATCATTATACAAACACCATTAACGAATATATTGATGTGATTGTTAATATATGTGCACAGTCTTATGTATGCACATTTTGAATGACCACACACGGTATACAAGTTTAGTTTTTATGTATTATTAACCTATGTTGCCCTACTGGCAAAGTCTCCCCTTTTTCTCTCCATTTTTATATTCTGTGTCACGTCGAATAAAATTATCAATATATAAAATGTACTAAAACACAGATTGTCAATAAAGTTGCAATTAAAACATGCCTTTCATTCATTCATTCCATTATGAATCTTTATGAATTCTTGTTGTTATTTATATGTATGTATTATGTAGGTATATCTATCAAAACGTACATAAATTTATTTTAAAGAGTGATTTTCCCGTTTATTGTAATATTATTTTTTACTGTTATATTATATTTGCAATATTCTTTATTGACTGTTTATTTACATATATGTATTTTTGTCTTAATTTAAAAACACTTGACAACTTCATTTGATTAAAAAAAAATACAATTTCATGTGATTTTATACTAAATTGTATTAAAAATTTGCTGGTAACCACAAATATTTGTTGGTTATTTTGGCTTTGGGCTGATATCGCTTATTATCAGGTGAATTATCAGTATATTTGTCATTATTAATTATAAATTAAATTATACTCAAATGGTAGCTCTATAAAATTCAACTCAGTGGTCCTGTAACTACGCAAATAGGCCACGTACCAACTAATACTTTTTAATACATGCTGTAGTTTTGTTAGCAGGTCGGGAGGGATTACCGTACTCGCTGGTTCGATGTCCCGTTGAGGCTCTGCAGTTCTGTGTGAGGTTTTCCAGTTAGGAGTTTCACATTTTCACTACCTGTCAGAGGAGTGTTATCTCGACGTTTTCGGTACACGGCGAGTCTGTAACAGGAAAAGAAATTATTATAAATTAATTGAAGTAAAAATAAAAAAAAATATTAATTATTTTTTAGTTATTGTTCCGGATTTTTTTATACCACGTTAGTGGAAAACAATCATACGGCCCATCTGATGGTAAACGGTTACCGTAGCCTATAGACGCCTGAAACACCATGGGTGTTACGTGCGCGTTGCCGACTGCCTTAAGAAATCTTAATATAGAGTATATTAAGGTTGCTTAAGGGTTGACAACTCGCAAAAACCCCATGCTGTAGTCTCTCGAGAAAACCTCGGCAGGTTCATTCTACAATCTAAGTGTACGCGGGAGGAAGCTCCTCTGAAACCGCACTGTCCGAGACCACTTAGTTTCAGTAGGATATTAAATGAATTACAAAATCAGGCAACAGTACTGAATGATAATTATTTTAAAAAGTGAACAGAGTCTTTATTTACGAATATATTATATACTAGCTGTCCCGGCAAACGTTGTTTTGCCTTAAAATAAAAAAATAATTTAGGGTCTGGACTACCCCTAACATTTAGGGGGATGAAAAATAGATGTTGGCCGATTCTCAGACCTACTCAATACGCTCACAAAATTTCATGCGAATCGGCCGTTTCGGAGGAGTATGGGAACGAAAACTGTGACACGAGAATTTTATATATAAGATTTACATGCTACTAAAAAAATGGCTTAAAACTAATAAAATTTTGACGGAGGCCCATTAAAGATTACATAGTATAAAACAATGTCGCTGTCGCTGTCTGTCTGTCCCTATGTATGCTTAAATCTTTAAAACTACGCAATGGATTTTGAAGCGGTTTTTTTAATAGATAGAGTGATTCAATAGGAAGGTTTATATATATATATATATAATACATATACACCCGTGCGAAGTCGGGGCAAGTGGCTAGTTAAAGATAACGTCGAAAACAATTTCAGAGAAACAATCTTATCGTTAATATGTTTGTTTAATTATTAATACGTTATTGTATATTTTACAGGTGTAGAATATTCCATATAGATAATATATAATGTTATTCTGTTATAGCCCTTATATACATACTATAAAGGCTATTATAGAATAGCAGAGAGGGTGGACTCGCGGCCCTTGCTCAGTTATAGACCGTATTCAAACGGGGATCAAAATAACTAAGGTAAGATTATTAATTCCAGTCAGTAAAATGACATTTCCAGTGTTGCAGGTTTTTAGTCCCAAATAAATAGTGATGTGATAGAATCGAGTTTTTACAATTAAAAGTTAGTCGAGATTACATTTTTTTTATTCAATATCAAATTGCCTTTATACAAATAAAAATTCTAGTATTAATTCCTCTGAATCTCTTTTTACATTTTTTCCCAGCTTTTGTAATAATGTTATAGTGAGAAATTTTAATATGCTTGTAAGGTCCATATTTCTAAAATCGTATTGTTTAATACGATATGTATTAAATATTTAAAATTAAAAAAAAAGTTTTCGATACCTAATAAAATAAAGCATGACTAAATGTCTAAGTCTATTGATTGGCGGACATCACTATTGTAGCGGGTCACCTTTTTTTGTATCAGTGATAGTTGCACTTGTCATTTTACTGACTGGATTTAATAATCGTACTTTACGACCTGAGCCGAAATTTGATCCCCTAGCGGTGCCCTCAGACTAAAGTCGTATCTGTCAGGCGGGAGTTGGCTTGCCGCTCTATAAGTCTTCCAGTGCCATCTGCACTAGCCACCTATCGTCCGGTGAAGCTGTAAAGGCCAGCTGCCAACAGCGTTAGTAGTTCGAAAAAAAAAATGTATTCAAGGCAATAACGGAAGACAGGTATAAAAACGTGTTACGTACGTAGTTGACGCTAGATAAACAAGTGACATTTGTTGTTAATCTGTCGTAAACGTTATCGCTATAAAACGAACGTACGGACGCGCTGATTTTATTGTATACAATTGCAGGTACAGTCGGCTGCATAAATATAGTATAAATGGTCAATAACGACAGTAATGTAGTCAAAATCATATATGTAACTGTAAGCTAACGGAACTGTATCGTAAAGATCATATTTTTTTATAAGTGCATGTAGAGTGATGGGACGTCGATATTTTAAGGGAAATACTTATTTTTGATTACTTTATATTCAAATAAACATCTATACTTGTTGTATCAAAATATTGTATTCTTACAAATATATTAATTTGAAAGAATGCATGTAGTACACTCACACTGCATTTAAGCTTTATCTATCGTAATTAAATTATATATATATATACCTAAAAAGTGCTAACAAATTTATCTATTTAACTGTACTCTCAATGTGTACATGTATATTACAATGTCTACACGAAAAACTAGTTTAATATTGACAAATATATTTTTATCAGTGAAGAGTAAAATCTTATTTCTTATCAGTTGAACTAAAAGAACATCTCGGAAAATTACTTCGTTTATATCTTTAAATTATATTTACAGTAATTATTATGATTATTTAATTATTTAGTCATTACTCTTAGTAAGCATGTGAATAATAAATGTAAAAAGAAAAATAACAAAAAAAACTGACGTAAAAAAAAATAACTTCCTTAACTAGAAAATGAGTCTAGTCTTCAAACGCTTAAACAGATTACAAATCATAGCTACGAAACGTCTTGATAATGTGAACTTTAAAAAAAACCGCATCCAAATTGGTACATTCGTTTTGAAGATATGATGTCACAGGCAGGACACACAACAAGCGTATATATTCAACAACTAAGAACTTTTATTATATTGTTTTACAAGCCTGGGCTGTAAGTACATATATATTTATATAATCTCTGGATAATTAACAAAGCGCCATCTAGTTCCAAACTAAGCCGAGCTTGTGTTATGAGTAGCAGATAACCAATAGTTAAATTTGGATTTATTTTTGTCAATACTTATAAAAGAGGGAGAAGGGTTAGTACGTGGACTGGTAACCTCATTTCTAGCAATGTACCTCAGGTTGACCTCCACGCGGTTCACCCTGGAAACCATCTTGGTATATTGCCATTTACCAGGATGGGCTAATGTGACTTCGTACTCATTTTATCATCCTCCACTGGTACCCCGCCAGCGCAAACCGTTAGTGCAGGTGGGTACACCATTATATTATTCATAACCATAAAAGAATATAAACAGAAAAAAACCCAGACAACTACAGACAATCATGATGGTAAGTGGTAACCAATCACCATCAGGTGGTGACCGTCAGTTATTTTGCCATTTCTGTTATATAAAAAAATTAAACATGTAACACTTACAAGTGCGAAATACATTTACCGGGATGTATTATTTCATAATTTGGCGATAAAAAAGCACTACAATCGAATGATAAAAAAAAATAGAACGTACAACTTGTCCACATACAGGCTGTTGCCAAAACGTTACTTTTGACAATACTCAAATATTCTATATGTATACAAAAATCTCTGTATTTTCGAAAAGCAATGTCTCCAGCAATATTTATAACAGATATTAGATTTAAAGATAAACTGGCTGTTCCTAAGTATCGTTTCGAAAAATCAATGGTATAAAAAATTACGATAAGATACCGAAGGATATACTGGAATTACCTAAATAAATTCAAAACATCTGTTAAATCATATGTACTGAGCAAAGCCTATTACTCACTAAACGATTACTTGAATGACGAGCTTGCATGACAGTAATTTTCATAGACCTACATAATACTGTCTTTTAAAAAAAAAGAAATTCAGTTGAGTTTCTTGCCAGTTCGTCTCAATTGAATGTGTATACTATGGAAGATACAAAAAAATTCCGTTCGTAAGCGGCTAAAATGTTCTAGATGAATAAATGATATTTCTATTGATTTGAATTGGGAACCGACTTATAAGTGCTTTGAAAAATACCTATAGCAATACTTTATACGGTAAAATTTGTATAATATTAAGTAGGTCCTTACAAATGAAATTGGCGTTTTGTCGTACATATGAATACGTATGAATCTAATTAATAAATTAGATATAAAGTCATCAATGACGGGGGATCGATAGGAGGAGAGATAACGATCTACAATAGTACACGCGTACGAGGGGAAAAGGATTGTTAGGGAATCTAGAATATAGGGGAATGAGGAATAGCTAGTCTAACTTTATGCTCATCCTATCATCCTCCACTGGTGCCTCGGCAGCATATACTGTTATCGTAGGCGGGCTCACCATTCCACTATCATACATAAAAATACACAAAGTCGGGGGCTAATTAAAATAAGACTATACAAAAAACAACAACCTGTACATCGTCAAAGGTAAATAAATTGAATCAGCGTGCGCATACGCATTTTGCGGAACGTTCCCTTTTAGTTTGATATCGACCGCGGCGAGGACGGACGTTCTGTTCATTGTACATGCAATCGTATTACGTGAGTATTTCAGTTTATTATTTAACCCCCACATATTCTGTTCAATGGACATCGCATTACATTACGCAAGTATTTAAATTTACTACCTCTGCTCTCGGTTTCACCCGCGTGAAATTTATAGACTATGTGTTATTTTGATGTATAAGCGCTATCACTGTAAAGTTTCAACAAAATCCGTTCAGTAGTTTCTGCATGAAATAATGACAAACGTTCATACTCACAAACTTTCGCGTTTATAATAATAATAATAAAATTTAATACTTTCTTTTTCAAAAAACTTAACTAATAATATTATAAATACGAAGTGTATGTCTATCTATTTGTTACAATTACCCGAGGTAATGAAATTTGACGTGAGTCCGGCTAATTTGTGTCAAGGAAGTGGACAGTCTATCTTTTATCTCAAACAATGCAGACGAAGTCACGGTTAATAGATAGTAAGTATAAATGGATTGATGACGATTGAGTCGTCCCTAACATCTGTGTAAAGGGGCAAAGGGGATTGTTAGTAATGTGGACTGATGATCTCATTGCTAGCAATGTACCATGTCGACCTCCACGCGGTTTCCTCTGGAAACCATCGTGATAAATTCTTGATGAATTTGTCA